AATTCTCAATAATACTGTACTGGACAGAAGAGTGTCAATTCATGTGGATAAACTAGTTTGCTAGGCTAGCTAGCTTCAGGTATTTTGTTCATCTGATTTCTCATCAGTGAAAGCGGAGTCAGATGAATCCGAAGACGTGACTATGGTACACTGTGAATTGTGAAGACTGGCATTCTGGTGATCCTAAAAGTACAATTATTTAATCCCTTCATACTAATGGAATAAAAAGACATTAAATCCTTTAAAAGTACGATGCTTGTATATTGTAAAGCATTGAGAAGTAGAGTAGTATGCAAAATTACAACAGACGGCATGCTTTGCTACCTTAATTTTGTATACAAGACTGGAAGAATTCAGAACACATTCGGATAATTGAACAAAGTCCTTTCAAAATTTATGCATCATTTTCTTCCTGCATTTAAAATATTTTGAGTTGATGCTTTTGTCAAAAGTAGGACGTATTTTTTTATTAATGTAAAGAAGTCGGTGTGTAGCTCTATTGGGGGGGGGGTAAATAAACATCCAAATATCTGGAAAAATCCAGGACTTTTATCTCTACATTATATTTTTACTTCTAAAACTGTACCAAAAAATCTCTTACACTTTCATCTTCTTCACTAGCAAATGCAGGGTTATGGAAGGCATGTTCTACCAAGTGTTCTTCATCCGTCTGCTTTACTTGGTTGTGTCTGTTGCTATACTTGATTAGGAGAAGATGTGATTTCATTCTGAAAATGAAAAAATGTAAAAATTAGCTTTTGAGCACCACTGTTTGATTAGGTGTTCGTATACTAAATGCATGCAACTCTTAAGTTCATCTAGAAGTAAAATTCCAGTCTTAAAACCTTTACATCACACTTTTAAGCATGGAAGCCAAGAAAACAAAGGACAGTAAACACACACACGCACACAAAATTTTATTAATTAATTTTTACACCAGTTTGCAAGTACCCTCCAAGATCCATATAAAACCTGTCCTGTGTACCGCACTACATGCTGGGCACCTACCTCTGTTTCTTACAATAACAGGACACAGCAGCAATGATGACCGTGATGACAACCAGGACAGACATCACGGGGATGACTACAATGCTCAGGTCACCAGCTTCCTCCTTCCCCTCGGGTTTCTCATTGGTCAGATTGGATGAGATCATGACCTCACAACTGGGGCCAGTAAAACCTTTCCAACATCTGAAAGAGAGGAGTAATATTTGCTAAAATCACTAAAGACACGTGATGTTCATCATTAGAGCCCAAAACTTTAACTTCAGATTTTTACCTTAATTCTGAAAAAAAAAACTAAACTAAGCAGGGGTGGCAAAATAAGCAAAAAATAAAAAATTCCCAATTTCAATCAAAATGTGCTCAAAATCAGTCTATCATACATATCTTTGAACATCTAAAGATACCAGCTGTTCAACATTAGAGCCCAAAATTTTAAATGGATTTTTACTTTACTTTTGAAAAGCATCAATATAGGAGGTTACAAAATCAGGAAAAAAAACTCTACAATTCATCTTAAATGTGGAAAAAAAATCACTTGACTTACACACAAATGCCTCCCTCACAATTTCCTCCATTTAAACATGTGGCAATGCATAGTTTGGTTTTGTTTGGCAAATCATTGTTTACAGAAGGGCCTAATATGACAAGAAAAAATTTTATAACCATGATAAAAATATTATTTAAAAAAATTCAAAAAACATATGGTGAAAGTGTATTTTTAGATGCAATATAGAAGAAAAACATCAAATATCTGTAGTAAAATATATAGACAGTTAATTTTCAGAGAACATCAAAATTCTCTAATAAAATATCCTGACAGTTAATTTTCTGTAATGTCATCTAAAGCCAACTTCAATAAGTTATCTAACGCATTATACCACATGGATCTCCTCATTAACACTGATCAAGTAAATGTCACACAAGTTAATCACCTTCATTATCCACATGTTCTCTCTCTGGATGTCCATTACTGGGGACTTGAACTGTCACCATGGAAACTGATTTTGTGTGGGCCCCTTGTGCTTTATGTTCATTCAGTGTCCTTGTAGTTGTACTACTCACAGTTGTTACATCATCCCCAGACTCTCCTTTTACATTATCCAATTGATTCCTGGCTGTCACAGTGGGAGGTGTCACTTTGTGTGTTGCTATAGGGTGTTTGTAACTCACTGGAATTGTCATGGTAACATCAGTGTCAATGGCAACGGACCCACCTCTTGGCACTGCAGGATTTTCAGTTGTCATGGTTGATGCCGTCTGTTGTTTTTCAGTAACCCCTTCTTGAGGTCTAAGGAGTTCCAAATTTGACTCATGCACAGCTTTTGTACTAGGACCAAAGAAACTTTTGGCAGTGGATGCAGATAAAGAAATTGTATTTTTTCTGTCCAGATAAACAGGAGTAGTAGCGACAGAACTAATACCAGAAATCTCAGGTGTTGCACCACTGGTAAAGGTTTTTGTAATTTGACACAAGTGACCAGCTTCCAGTGTGTATCCTCTTGGACATGCACAGCTGGCTCCACCTGGTTTCAGCAGACAGAGGTGACTACACTTGGGTTGGAGGGGTTCACAATAATTATACACTATAAGAAAGAAAATCATTTGATACATGTCATTGAAAAAAACATCTGCGATACCACTGAATATATACCTGTTATAGAAATCTAAAGATGAATTTATTTGTGCTGTGTGTCAGGAGAATTGACGAAAAAATAAATTTCAACATCATTAGCTATGACTATATAATCTATATAATCATATAGTGGTGATTCACGACTGCAATTCACAACCAACTTATAAATGAGCATTACAATTTAAAGCCATTTATTTTTTCAAACTTTCAAACTATTTTATTAAATATTTTCTAAAAACAGAAAATTACCTGTAGGTTGTCGTAAAGGGTGATAGACCTGTATCCCCATTGGTCTGTGGAATAATTCAGGCAGAGAGGTTCTGTTGTCCCCACTGAACTTGTTAAGTACTGTCACTGTGCCTGTAGTCCACTCAGAGACATACAGGGTGTCCTCAAATACTGTGACACTGAATGGGTGCTGCATGCCCCTGCTTGTTACCACTCGCCTAGAGGGGTTAACAAATATATGCTTACTGACTACCCTCTACCAGGGCAATATATTAATTTTTCACAGATATGTCTCTTGATAAAAATACAGTCATTTTGGTCTGGGTTGTTTTTCCCTATATAATCTGCCACCCTGGTAGAGGGTACTGCATAGTGGGTAATTCAATAAATTTTCAAACTACTTAAATTACCTCTATTATTATTAGTTTTTTACTTTGTGCAGCAATAAGATTGCTTAATAATTTAATAGATCTGCCTGCATGCTACATGTACGATAATGATTTATGTATGTTTTGTTGTTTTTCTTGAAACAGATGTTCTGGTTTTAATATTATTCCATATAAATCTAACAAGAACATGAACTTGAAGTATACAGCTATAAGCACAGTGTACAGTTATGATTCGATCTTCCAATGGCCAAAATTGTGAATTTTAGAGACCAATACTGTACTTTTTAAGTCAAAAATTCATTCAAATTAAGTGGTAGCAACAACACTGAAAAGATGACTATACCCTACGATTATATTCAAAACAGCATAAGCACAACAAATGCTATACAGAAATATAAATTGTACAATTCCAAAATTACATATCTGAAGGATTGATAAATTTTTCATGGAAAAGACAGGGTCAATACTGTAATCCTACCCCCCCCCCCCCCAAACCCTACCTGTGTTGCCCATTAAAGTCTGCCACCTCAATGTGGTCAAACTTTGCATCCACCCAGTACAGCCTGTCCAGCACAAAGTCCACAGTCAGTCCATTCGGCCAGATGACCTTGTCCCCAATGACCAGCTGTCTGTGCTGGCCGTCCATCCAGGCTCTCTCTATCTTGGCATCATACCCCCAGTCAGACCAGAACATTAGCCTGACACACCAGGAGAACATTTATATATCAGTGTTATCAAAGAAATACAGTTTAGAAGAAAATTAACAAAGTGGCCAGGATATACGAGTTTTTTCCCACAAAAGCAATGAACATTTTGAGTCCTGCCAGTGAAAGGTATGCACACTTGCACTCTGTGTAATATATTTACTTAATTAATTGATTAATAAAGTAAATAACACAAAAAATGGTAACTTATTACAAACATGATTGTCAATGGACATCAGGTTTCAACACTTATTCACTCTAACCATATCTCAAGAAACACGCCAAAACAATTATCATTACTAAGCTCTGTAGCAGCTGTCTCGCCAGATAACAAGATCAAATCCAGTGGAGTACACCGTGGACCTTATATGCAACCAGGCAGAAATCAAGACAGTGATATTCAAAATGAACTACGAACACTGTGTGACTGCTTAAACAAATTACAAAGCAAATTGAGGTAAAGACTGTCTCATGCTGCTATATGCTATGATCAAATGGCTGAAGTAACAACAAGCAGAATGTAAGTAACAGAAAATTTAAGTTATACCTGATGCCATGAAGATTAAGTACTAAATAAATGAGAGGCAATGGAAAACTGTAAGTAAAACTACCTCTCTCCTAATATGATTCATAGAGAAAAATAGATAGTATTCTGAACTCACCTATAGTGCAAAGACTGCTTACTTTGAAAATAGGGAAAATTAAAAATACAGTGAATAAGTAATTCCTTTGAAAAGGTTGCGTAAAGTCGTGTACATATGAAAAAGCCTGTGTTATACATTTGGCATGAGATTGTAGAATCTTTGTATATGGTCAACCATGTGATTAAGTCAGTCAAACACCGAGACCTACTTGTACCAAGAAATATGTTACACATAGGTATGAGAAATATCAGGGGCCTCGCAAACAAACTTTCAGATGACAATTTTCTCTCTATAGTACAAAAGTATGATATATTTGCATGTATAGAAACCTTTAGCACAGAGCGTTCCAAAGTAGTGTTACCCACAGGCACACATGGGCACTTTCAAAAACTGAGGAAAAAAAGAAAAGTTAAGGGAAGACCCTCTGGCGGTATTGTAGTTTATTATAAAAAGGAATATAGTGGGGCAGTTGAAATGTTAGAAAGCAAAAGTGAAAACATACTGTGGGTAAGACTCTCTAGCCAAAGCTTTGGACTCCAGCAAGATTTATACCTGTGCGCCGTGTATGTTAAGCCCAGTAACGGAGCACTGGATGAAAGTACCTTTGAAATTTTAGAGAGTGAGATAGCTGCGTATGCACCTTCTGGCACAGTTTGCTTGTTAGGGGATTTCAATGCAAGGACTGGAAATTTACAAGACACTACTGTTTGTGAAAATACACCTAGTGCAATGATACCAAACAAGCCCAACACAAGTAGAATCTGCCTTCAAAGAAACAACTTAGATTCGGTTATCAACCCCCAGGGGAGAACTTTGGTAGATTTATGTATTGCAAGTAGCATGAAAATATTGAATGGGAGAACAATAGGAAACTCCCTAGGCTATTTTACATGTTATAACAGACAGGGCTGCAGCACTGTAGACTATGCTATTGTGAGTGATGGGCTGCTTAGCGATGTAAATTTTTTCACAATACACCCCATTGATTATTTATCTGATCACTGCCTGCTAGAACTATCAATACGTACTAATGTCATACAAAAATCTGCTATCTCAACAACAGTTCACAGATTCAACGAGCAGTACATTTGGAAACCAGACTCGCCTGAAAAATTTTTAAACGCTCTAGAAGATGATGAAACGATCAATGAAATTAGCAAACTCCAATGCACCCACTTCCCTAACACTAAAGAAGGAGTGAACAAAGCTTGTAATGAACTCCAAAATATCCTTTGTAATGCGGCTAATAAATCACTAGCAAAGAGAAAGCCTCCTAGAAATGGAACTAATAAGACAAAACGAGTGAAAAAACACCCCTGGTTTGACGGCACATGTGCCGAAATCAGGCGCAATATAAAGCACCTTGGGAAATTGCTACAGAACAACCCAGGAAACAACTTTGTTGCCCACACCTACCATGAAGCCTCTAGAAAATATAAGCAACTAATAAAGCGTAAAAAACGGGAGCACAAAGATTTTCTACTTAAAAGATTACTCGAAAACGAAGAGAAAAACCCTAAAGAATTCTGGGAAGTTTTTAAAAACCTGAAAGAAAAAGAAACCAGGCACAACTTAATTAGTCCAGACATTTGGCTTAAACACTTTCACCAGCTTTGTGGGATTGCCCCGAATGAAAACAACATAATCGATGCCCCGTTAAAAGAGATGGAAAGACAAGAGGGTATTCCAATACTAGACAGTGCAATAACATGTCATGAAGTGAAAAATGCCCTGAAAAAGCTTAAAAGTGGGAAAGCAGCTGGGGAAGATGCAATTAAGAATGAAATGCTTAAAGTAGGAACCCAGTACCTAGCAATTGTTATCACAAAGATCTTTAATCTTATCCTCAATACCACTGAAATTCCCGACACTTGGAACCTTGGCATCATCATACCTATCCATAAAAGTGGTGAACATATGAATCCATCAAATTATCGAGGACTGTGCATCACCAGTTGTCTGGGGAAACTGTTTAACTCAATACTCTGTAAGAGACTGAC